TATAACATTCACAAGTTTTTATACTCTTATTGTTACTAACACTAATTACATAACCACAAAATGATTATTGGTAAACTATCACTTCAACTGAACAAAATGCTCAAATCATCATAAATATCATTAGAAATGTTGGTGCTACAAATTCAGTTATTTCATTTTATTTTGGGTCATGGTGAAGAGAGAAACTCATGATGAGACTTTTCTGTTCCGTTTTATTTAGACCTAATCTTTAGTAAAATAATACACCACTTTAAAATATATATTAAAAGGGAATTACCATATCATGTCAAATAGAGAAAGAGCCTTGCATAAAAAAATCTATAAAACTATGATCTGATATAATCTGCAAGCTTAGTTGATGCCAGCAACAACCGTATCCAGTTGCAACTTCATCATTTACAAACAGGCATCTATAAATACAGAGCTTGTTTGCTGACATGAAGTCAATATGGGTATAAACTGCAGTCATACCTTCTCTGTTATAGGAAAGAGCAAAAGTACAGCACACACAGGCCTCGGCACCAAACTGAGAACTTCAGCTTCCAAACCGTACACATCTCCAAACTGCCAGGTGGGTACCAAGCCAAGCTGCCGTAAAAACTTAACAAAAGTATAACACAACACATACATATTAAATACAAATCATATTTCACAAGACTAGTAAAGGTTAGATTTGTATGGTGAGAGGCACACAAGGGCCTACACATAGAAGCGTTTCTATTTAAACATATCAACAATAAACTAATGTGGAACATAAAATACATTTCACATTAGTGCAAATACAGTAAGGTTAAACAGATATTAAGCTCAGTATTGCTGATAAACATAACGAACCAATGTTGATGCAATTAGCTTTAACACAAACGTGCTTTAATAAACCTGATTCATTCATTTGGCACAAGTTTTGAATCCTAGACACACCCAGACAGACGAGACCTCTACTCACTTGGTTCATAACCTGAAAAGCAGACACAGAACACAAAACAGTATCATATAAAATATGATGTCAAAGACATGAGCTGCAGCTTACCGTTCCTGCTAAAAGCTGCCTTTGAACAAAAAAAAAAACGAGCCCATGAACGATATAAAATTGAATTAACGACAACAAATCTTGAGATCGTGAGAAATTCATACCTCTGGGTTGGCTTCCAGTGGTAACCAGCGCTGGCCCTCCATCTCAGATTAAGCCCCGTCTGATATCCTAAATAAAAAAGATGATATTGTTAGCTCGAGCAATGGTGTGCAGACGCTTTGACAGCTGAGGAGGAAGTTCAAGGGGATATGTGAGTGCCGGTGTGTGAATTCAGCAACTGGCATGACGTCACACCGGAAGTGCAGGCTCAAATTCCAAAATAAAAGTTACCGCTTGGTCGCGATTGTCAGTGAAACACTCTCTTATATTAGGGACGATGCGGCATCATTCATGTTGTTTAGTGTCACGAAGGTATTTGATGCTCTCACCACGTTTACATGGAAAATAGCCAATTTTTCTATTCAAGTCGATATTGTGGTCAAGCCTTTATTCTGAAATACACATAATCTCCTCTCTTTTTGTGTTATGTGATTGTTTTAGCATTTATTTGTTATTTTTCTTTAAAACATTACTAGTTTATATTATGTTATTGATATCCTCCTGAGAAGCAGGAATTTTTTATTTTTTTGTCATTACATTGGTTGGAGCAAAATGGAGAAAAACATTCTTAAATATATATTTTAATATATTTATTAAATATATATTTTAAAAAGTATATTTTATTCGTTGTAGAGGACGCCAGGACTAAGTTATTCAAAAAATCAATCGACATGAAAAGGCATGTAAGGCAAAAACAATGTTTTATTTTTTCATTCACCAATCAGTTGTTAGGTTTCAGGCTATTTTTAACCAAAATTTGTACAAAGATGATTCTCATCTATGTTATGAAAGATATAACAGAATGGGTTGATATACTACTGTACTTTATGGAATATGTGCGTGAAATGTCCATAAATTGGTTTTCCCATTCTATAGAATGTATCTATACATTGCATCTAATTTGCATATTGATGTGTTCTTGGGGCAAACCATAATAATAATAAAAAGAAGTGTAATAATGGGAGTAATAACTTGGCAACATTTTCATAAGAATATCTCATATTTCATAGGAATATTGATCTATAATTTCTTTCCCTACTGACTTGTTGTGTCTCCCCAAAATGCCAGATTAACATGCCGTTTGTCCTGGTGTCCTCTACAGAAGACATGTATGAAAATTATGTCCTGTTTTGTAACAAAAAGTCATATTTCGATTTGCAACCCCATAACATTTTTCTGAGATTTTTATTTACGACAAACAATTAAAAAATTGGGCAGATTTAAATGATAATTACAAAACATTATCAGATTTCCCTAAGAGTGCTAAATTGGAGAATTCTGTCAATATCAGTCTTATCTAAAGACCAAGGAGAGGGAGTGTTTATGATCAAACCTCCAAACATCTGATATCTCTAAAAAAGCCCTGAATGTGCTCTGTACAGGACATCCAAACTGTGGCATGTATAGTCTCAGAGAAATTCACTAAAATATAATGTCCTCCCTCTACAGAGTTCAAACGTCTATGCCTCCTCCCAGGAGCATATTATGACATTTTCCAGTACCTGGAGGAGGATGGTGCGCTGCAGGTGTCACGTTGCAGATTTAGTCCAGTAGGTGGCGATACTTAAGCAGTTGATTCTACAAACAATATTTACAGAAAGAGAAGAAGAATTTTAAGCTTCCGCGGCGATGTTTGGTTTTAAATTAGTATAAACCGAGTTTATTTGTATGCTAAATATTTGTTATCCGAGTAGAAATGCATTTTAACAAGTATAAAGATAAACATCATCAAGAGTCGAGTTTGTCGTCTTCTTTTATTACTGGTGAGTAGTCGGAATATAGATTCATATTGTTAACGGTTTTATTATTCCGCCGTGGTATTATTATCATCAGTCATGTCTTCATTACAGCTCCCAATGATAAAACGCTGATAATGGCGTCTAAAGAGAAGAAGGAAAACATAAGAATGGGCAAACAGATGGCAACTGTGTACGCAGCAAAGATAAAGACCAAGATACACAGTAAGAAATGCTATTACTAGTGTAGTTTGTGTTACTGATGTATGTTCTGAGTTGACCAATGGCAATACCCGGACCTTCATTATCTCTCAGATACCTCATCATTCTTCAAGCTTTCTTTGAAAAGTAACAACAAGGCTCTGACTCTGGCTCTGGTTGCTCAGAAGCAGAAGAGCAGAGAACTGGAGGCAGAGGTGGTGCGACTGAGGAAAGAAGCACAGACAAATCATTTTGATCTTGCTCAACAGCGTCATAAAAACAAACAACTGGTGAGTCTGTGACAGTGAAGTATGAATTTCAGTCTTGGATACCTGACCCTTATATTTATATACTGTACACTTATATTTGTATACACTTATTTATGCTGTACAGACATAAGTCAAAATCAGTCTTATATTTATTGAACACACTGACCTTGTACTGTACTTTAAAAACAACGAACATACATCATTATTAATTATTCATAACAATATATGTAGTTAATGTTTTTTTCTGATTCTAGTTTGCCATTATACGAGAGTTTTATGACTCTTCCCTTAACTGGATGACAAAGGCAGTTGATATTTTTTGCAATGAGGAGGTAAGCTGTCAATATATTTTTTGAATAATTAAATTATATTGCCATTTTTGTTGTTATTAATAATGATCAGCATAGTAGTAATATTTATTATTATCATGACTTTGTTGATTGTTTCACAAATAGCTAATTGTTAAATAGACACAACATTATTATGAACTATTTTCATTATAATTAATTTAATGTTAATACTCATTATTATTATTTTTAAAGGATCCAGACTCTGGACACGACACCAGTAAAGGTATGAAAACACATTGTAGACTGTTCATTGATTACAAGTTTCCTTAATTATGTCAGTCAAGTTTAATTAAGTTTGAATGATTGGTACTGTAATGCCAATTTATAGAAATGAAGCTGATATGAATTTCCTTGTAATTTAAAGCTAAATACGTCTTGATGATGTTTTTTTTTTATATATTTGTGATTTATTTTTCAGACCAAATTATTGAAATAGAGAAAGAAGTTGGGAGTTTGCAAGACAAACCATTGTGTCCACAGCAGAACTATGACCATTCTGAACCAGTGAATACAGCCGGTGATGATCTCAGCCAAGAAAGAGACAGTCCAGCACAGCAAAACACCATATATGACTCTGAAATGGAGGTGACCGTTAGTGACAGTGCTGCTGAAATAGTAACAGTTGAAACAAATGCAAGAAGAACCTCTAGAGTTACAGAGGAACATCAAGAAAAGAAGGGTTTGTGTCCGTCAGAAAAAGATAGTGCGGTTATATCTGCAAAGTTAGACTTACCAATTGAATTTAGTAGATCAGACTATACATCAGCTGTGCCAAATGAGACATGCTCTCCTACTGTTCAGAATGAAGTGGAAAATGGGCAGCAAACAGAGTCAATAACTGCACGCAGGAAGACTCACGTCACCTCTCGTACTAAAAGTAGCAGACGTACAGGTCAACGGAAAGAACCATACCCAGATCCAAGAAAAACATACGTAATCTCCCAAGATCCTCCTTATGACATTTTTAACGATTGTTTTAGTGATCTCGAGCTTCAGAATTCTGAAAGAAGCAAGGCAATTGAAAATACTTCAAGTAAAGCTGTTAAAAACAAAGCTAAAGAGTCCCATGCTACGCAGGAACCCAGGAGAACATTTATAGTTCAAGATGAGCTAAGACCTCAGAAGATCAGGAAGACCAAAGTTTTGTCCCTTATGATGGATCACGGTTTATCTGATGTTCATGAAAATGTCCAGTCTGCCAGTAGTTTATGCTTCGAGTCTGCTTGTACTGATGTGCATGTCGGTGAGACCGCTGTTCAAAAACATAAAAACAAAACTCCAGCACACCCACTTCCTCAGTCTGAAAAGTGCAAGACACAGAAAAACAGAGGAACATTTGTGATACAGGCAAGTAAATCATTCATCAACAGGAATTCATTTTTGGATGAAACCAATATATTAGAGGATCCCAACAGACCGGAAGGTTTGCAGGAAGTAATATCAGAAACCCAAACAACACCTCTCAATATTGGTTCAGATAATGTTGCCCAACAGCACAAGGCGCCAGAGCATGATTTTCTTCATAAGATATTGACAGAAAACACCTATCATCCAGAATGTTCACAAGATGTGAGTGCCAACCATGTACAGGAACCCTCTGAATTTACGTCATCAGTGGCTGGTAAAGCCAAAAAAACACAGAAAAGAGGGGGAAGATAAAATAAAAAAGAAGAATGCTGCATCAAGAGAAAAACCCAAAGCATTAACAAAGAAACAAAACAGCTGTGCTGTGCGTATGGATGAAAATGTGTTGACTGGAAGGCAAGATATGATTGATCTTCAGAATGGAGCAGGAGACAGGTCTTTGTCTAATACTTTACAGTTACCAGTAATATCTCACTGCTCAGCCTCAGAGGAGGACCTCAGGGATGAATGTAATGCTGAAACCCTTGGAATAAGCTCTCCTTCCTCTGTTGACAAGCTTGATCAGACTAACCATACTAACATGGACTCTCTTACCATAAATCTAGATCAAACCAAGCAAGCTCTTGAGGGCAGGTGCAGGAAAACATATGTTGTTTCATCTTCACATAAATCCCCCATTAAGAAAAAAACTGACAGTGGAGCTTCCAGCGACATTTCTGAACATGATCTTTTTACTAATGAAATGGATAATGTTTCATCTGTCATTAACAGAAGCATGTTTGTCATGGAAAAATATAATGTGACTTCAGATGGTTTTAGTGGACACACAAAAAACCTTCAGTTCACAGAGGAGAGGCCTCCCTGGGAGACCCTTGATGGTTACACTGAAACACTCTCAGATGAAAGCTCTGCCCATAGCCCTCAACCAGAGACCCGCAGTCAAACTATGAACATTTACCAGGACCAGGACCAGGACTCAGACTTGAGGCACCAAGCTCCAGGTAAACCTTTGCCAATACATATTAGTACACTTTTAATACAAATTCATTTTCATTTTTCCCTTTCTTGCATTTCACATATGTCTTAGGTTTGTTTGTATCTTATATATTTATTTTTATTTTGTGAACAGAAGAAGGCAGGGTTATGAAGAGTCTAACAAATACAGAGCATAACTCTGATTTCGAGAGAACACGAAGAAGAGCAGCACCAGTCTCCTACAAAGAACCAGCCCTCAACTGGTGAGTTACACT